AGTTCTATTCATTACCTCCCCTCGTCAAGTTGTATTCATTCAATGAAAATTTTATTTATTTTGATTTTATGGATAGAGACGGAGAAGGTATCTTTAGTAGGTTTATGGATAGATGATTACTTTAAAGTTTATTGTTTAAAGAATAAAAAGAATAAAAAGGAAACCAATTCTCCTCTAGAAATAGATCCATGAAGAGATTTTGGTGTTCAATCAACTGCAGCTACTAATAATGCGCTCTTAAGAGAAACTAGTACATGGAATGGTAATAATTTAAAACGATATAAACACATTTTTTATGAATCATTCAAGTTTCTAATTAATATTATTATAATCATAGAATATTCCAAATAAAAATCCTCCCATTTTACATGCAAAAATAATATAGAGGAATCATTAAAACAAGCCTGGTTGAAGGCTGGTAATAGTGCCAAGTAAGGGCTAACCACAACTAATTTCTTTGTATTCTTCCAAACACAGGTCAACCATTATACGCTTTATAACAAAAGTGTGGTCAGGCCTTCATTATAAAAAAATTATTAATATAATATGAAAATCTGGTATAATTCAGAAAAATTTTGTATATTGTGATAAATTGTATAATACTTATATTATCCCTTAAACTGTTTGCAGCCAAATTTGCCTGCAATTTTGTTTTTTAATTAAAGACACTTTTAAATATCTTAAAATATTTTATTACATAAACCAATATTTTTATAATAAATTCTAAGTATTTTCTGAAAAAAAGCAATTTGATTAATGATTTTTTAAAAGTAAATGATCGACAAATTATAACTAAATTTTTCAAATTGAAATATCTTTTTATCCAATAACCCTAGAAATATAAAATTACCACTATTTGATGCGTCTTAATGAGAAGAATCTGATAGAAATAAAATTGTCCTACTACAAATATTATGTAACAGGATAATTTATAAAATCTAAAAATTTATAAATTAATATAACTTTTTATCTATCAATTTTAGAGTTATGATTTTATTACCATTAAATGCGCCTTAATAAGAGGAATCTAACAAATATAATTTCATATTTCTATGATCACTAGATCTTAAGATATTTTAAAAATTCAAAAATTTTTAAAATTAATTTTAACTTCTACAGTTTAAGGGATAGATACACAAATATCTTTATTATATTAAATAAAAATTCGTTATTAAACAAAAATTTGTTACAATAAGAGTTATTTTATATATATTTTATATACACTGGTCATAAACTTATTTTATAAAATTGGTACAACACTGAAGGTTCACTATATATTAAGAAATTTGTTAAATCAAAATTCGTTATAAAGCAAGTGGACTATATAAAGTATCAGCCTTTTATTTTATTTGTTTATTTCACAATTGATTATTTAATTCAAAAAAAAAAAAATTGTCAAATATTTAATTTATAAAAAATTTTTAAAATTCTAATATAACAGTTTATTAAAAGATTAGATCAATTTTCTTTAAATAATAATATTTATATAATAAATAAATAATAATAATGCATGTAAGTGNCAATTGATTATTTAATTCAAAAAAAAAAAAATTGTCAAATATTTAATTTATAAAAAATTTTTAAAATTCTAATATAACAGTTTATTAAAAGATTATTAGATAATTATAAATTAAAAGTGCCAATTATATTAAAAATCTTAGTACTTTTTATTATTAGCGTTAGTTGTTAAAAAAATTGAGATTAAATTTTCTTTATTATATTAATTATAATTTGATACTAGGGATTGGAATCGATTATCATTATTAGAATCAATTTTAGAATCGATTAATCATTAATTAATTGTTAATCAAAATTATACTACTGCCGGTCACGTGACTATCAAAATTATTAAGATTGACATAAAAATTTCCTTTTTGGGAATTTTGTACAATATAACTTGAATTTCATTGGACAACAAAATTTTCTTTTTTGGATTTTTGTTAATGTTACGTGATAACAACTTAACTTCTTATTAATGGACTACTCCAAAATGTCACAAAATGGCCGGCATTAAGAAATTAAGAAATTAACTATATGACAAATAATGTGTGACAAATAGGGTTTGTTAACCGAAATAAAACTAATACTTGTAGATTACGCAGTGGAAATCTTATTAACGCTACTATGCCACAATAAGTAAATTTGATTTTTATTCGATAATCGATTTAAAATCGATTCTTATCGATTTTTGATAAATTCAATTATTGTAAAATCGATTCCAATCCCTACCTGATACTAACTTTTAATTTTAGTAAAAAAAGTTAAATTATAATAATTATAGTGAAAATTCTAATATAACAGTTTATTAAAAGATTAGATCAATTTTCTTTAAATAATAATATTTATATAATAAATAAATAATAATAATGCATGTAAGTGGTTTTAAATTATTAATGAAAAAAACTTCAATTAATAATAATCAAAAAATTTTTTTTTATAGATCCAATTTATATAATTTATGATTCTATTTATTAATAAATCAAAAATTCTTTTTTTTTGTATATATAAGGGAAGTGACACATATTACATCATATTCATTTTACTATGAATTTTACCCCCTCCCCCCCTTGTCAGATTTAATAACCAATTAAATTTAATTATACAATTTATATAAATAGAATAAGTGTAACATCAGATTTTAATTATTTCCTTCCCCCCTCTAATAATTACATCATATGTGTCACTTCCCTAAGCCAATACCAGAATTAATTTTAACACTAGTCAGAGAATATACTAAATATCTGATATTACTATATAAATGCTAGCAATAAAGATATAATATATAATTATTTTTAGAAAATTGTAAGGTTGCAATTATTATAATATTGTATATATATAAAACACTTTTGTTATAATTATCATAGTAAAGTATTATAATTATTATATAGTATTATAATTACTACTAGTTTTGTAATTATTATATAATATTGTAATTATTGCTAATTATATAAATATATATTATAATATATCAATCATTTTTTTTTGTAATAATATTTGTTTAATAAAACTTATTTTTGTAATTTTTATTTTTCAAAAAAGGAAATTTTTAAAAAATTTTAAGTGTTGTAATATTACAATAGAACTTGAAAAAATTATATATAAAGATTACTGAAAAAAATTCAGAAATTATATAAATGCGAACTATTTTATAATTGGTTAATAATTGACTATTTATTTATATGTTTTCGCTCTAAAAATAGAAAGAAAAGATCTTCACTCAAATTTTCTTATTCTTGCGAACCAATATGTAACTTTTATTATTAATTATTTTTATAGTAATCTTTTTAAAAATTAATTATAAATTTAAATCAAAAAAACTGGTGACCTTTATTATTAATTTTTTCAGTTCTATTACAATACTTTAAATTTAAAAATAGTAATAGGTTGCAACTCTTACTATTACAACATAAAATAGTAATTATCAATTATATACTACATCTTTAGCTGGTAATATTAAAAAAAAGGTTGCAGATAGTTTGCCACTTGGAGAATAAAATTGTATAACAAATATACTGAAATAGCATTGGATTTTCTGGAACATTATACATAAGATATTTAACCATTTTATAATTAATATTTATTATAATAGTAATAGAAATTAATTGTAGTTTATTATTTATATTATATAGTATAATTTAAAATAACTTTTTGAATTTCTCTTATCTTCAAAATTTTATAAGTAAAAATGATATTATTAAAGTTTTTGAACTACAATTAAACCAAATTAAAAGAAACCATTTGTTTGAAAATCAAACATATTAAATTGTATTAAAAAATTACTTATCAGAAATAATTTTAATTATAATCTGTTATTTTATATAAAAAGATATCAATTGTACTATTTATTTCAATATCAGAAGAAATAAATGAACTGGATGGCAAAGTGCAATATTAACAGATTTGCATAATCTTGATTTTATTATTGCAAGTGTACATATTATTTCTAGAAAATAAAACAATACTAGCAAGTAATTTAAATATTAATTGCTAGTCCACATGTGAATGATATACTAATTGAAACCCTGATTTTACTTAATAATCTAAAAATAAATACTTTGTATACTATATTCAGAATATGTGATTTAAAGCGTGATGCAGATTATTTTAATAAAGCATCAAAATTTATTTTTGCGGAGTTATTAACTTAAAAACTGAAACTGAAAAATTTGAAAAAATCGCAAAAAAATGTAGTTTTTGCAGAGTTTAAAATCATTATATCAAATATAAAAAAAATTTGTATTTTTTCAATTAATTTTTTTTAAAAAATATATTAATACATATGTAAAGTATGTAAATGTAAAATTTGAGGTTTTTAGCTGATACTTTTATAAAGCAAAAAAAAAGTAGTGCAAATTTATTCAAAATATTGCTAAATTTTGACTAATTGGCAATATTTAGGAATTTTTTGTAAAATTTTAAATTTTATAGTATTAATATTAAATACTTGAATAAAAAAATATAATCTCAAAGTTTTTTCAACAAAAATTTAAGTAATTTGGTTAAAAATTGATTGACTTATCTATGAAGGAAATGCACATTTCATATGTAATTTTGACTTGTTTAATTTATAAATGGATTTTAAAATTTTGAGTTTTATAAGAATCATATTAAACATTTGAATAAAAAAATTAAATCTCAAAGTTCATTCAATAAAAATTTCAAATGATTTGGTTAAAAATTAATCAACTTATCTATAGGGAAACACAGATTTTAAATTTGCGATAATTTTTCTATTTATCTCATGCAAATCGGTAATTAATAGTTATATGAATTAAGTACAACCAGCAACTTCACCAGATAAAAAATTAAAGGTAGAAATATAACCAGCAACTACATCAGATAAAAAATCAAATAAAGAGATATAATTAGCAACTTCACCAGATAAAGAATTAAATGCAAAAATACAACTAGCAACTTCACCAGACAAAAAATCATGTGTGAAAATACAACAAGAAACTTCGGCAACTCCATCAGATAAGAATCAGATGCAAAAAAATCACCCAGCAACTCCACCAGATAAAAAATCAAAGGTAGAAATATGACCAGCAACTACATCAGATAAAAAATCAAATAAAGAGATATAATTAGCAACTTCATCAGATAAAGATTAAATGTAAAAATACAATCAGCAACTTCACCAGACAAAAAATAACATATGAAAATACAACAAGCAACCCCACCAGATAAAGAATCACGTGAAAATACAACTAGCAACTCCATCATATAAGAATCAAATGCAAAAAAATCACCCAGCAACTCCACCAGAATAAAAATCATGTGTGAAAATATAACAAGCAAACCCACCAGATAAAAAATCGCGTGTGAAAATACAACCAGCAATTCCACCAGATAAAAAATCAAAGGTAGAAATATGACCAGCAACTACATCAGATAAAAAATCAAATAAAGAGATATAATTAGCAACTTCACCAGATAAAGAATTAAATGCAAAAATACAACCAGCAACTTCACCAGACAAAAAATCATGTGTGAAAATACAACAAGAAATTCCAGCAACTCCATCAGATAAGAATCAGATACAAAAAAATCACCCAGCAACTCCAACAGAATAAAAATCACATGTGAAATATAATAAGCAAACCAACCCACCAGATAAAAAATCGCATGTGAAAATACAACCAGTAACTCCACCAGATAAAAAATCAAAGGTAGAAATATGACCAGCAACTACATCAGATAAAAAATCAAATGAAGAGATATAATTAGCAGCTCCACCAGATAAAAAATCATGTATGAAAATACGACCAGCAACCCACCAGATAAAAATCATGTGTGAAAATACAACCAGCAATTCCATCAGATAAAAAATCACACATGAAAATACAACCAGCAACTCCAAATAAAATAAACAAAATCAAATGTAAAAAGTACAACCAGAAATTCTTACCAACTAATGGAAACCCAATCTACATCTTCACCAGATGAAAAGTCTAATGTAAAAATATAACCAAACACAATTGGCAATTCCATCAGACAATAAAAGCACAATTAACTCATAAAATGTAAAACATGATCAGAAGAATATCTACCAGTTAATGGAAATACAACTATCTGAATTAGGTTGCAATACCATAATAATGCTATAATGTAATATGATGTAGTGTAAGGTTGTTTGAAATTAATGCCAAAAGGTGAAACTCTGTACACTAATCGACGGAATGAAGGGTTACCAAGTAAATTATGATTTTAACGGATTTTTAACCTGAATGGCAACTGATCGATCTGCTCGATCTGTGACCAGTTCTTGGCGCAGATCAGGTTTAAATCATGACTTTCAGATTAGGTTATCGGTGTTGTGACTGAAATTGAAATCTAGCTGATCTTTAAATATGAAATGTTCGATTTTATTTTAATTGATCATCAAATTTTAATTTCATATATCAGATCAATTTCAGTCATAACATATACACATCATATCAATAAAGTATCTATCTACAAATTAACTCTAATCTAGTATCGAATAATTTTCTACATATTGAGAACTCCTAAACATTATTAATCTATGATATGTCGAAATATCTAAAGAAAACCAAATGTCATCTAGATTTCCTCCAACTTCCAAATAATGACCTATCCACCTATCACGTATATCTTTACTAAACCGTTCTTTAGCACATTTACATCACCTCATATTGTGGTACCCCTGCGTTTCATTTGTTTAGTTATGCCATGGCTAATTTCCCATTTGTTTACTTCTTCACAACTTGGTAACCAGATAAATTTTTTAGCGAATTCTTTAATAGTATGTTTAACAAATTCCCTAATATCTCTTTGAATAATTTATCCTTAAATCCACAAAATAAGCGTTTATTGACAAGACCTTTTATCGCTTTATGAAATACTCTTCCATTAAAAATCATCATTGATTTGTCGTTCATAATTTCAAATAATTCTAAAGTATATATTCAAAGATCTATTTTAATATCTTTTTTTTCCAATGTGTCTCAAATGCTTCATTTATAATTTGGTTAACCGTGGTGTAATTACACCTAACACATCCGTTGTACGTGTTTTTTTTGCATACGGGTGGAAAATTTAAAGTTTTTTTCATGCATTTATTATTGAAAGTTAACAATGATTTCAGTTATAACAAAATTTCATGAATTTTCATTCAATTATTACAATCAAAGATTCATTAAAAGGTAATAAATTAAATCTACACGTTAATAATATATGATAACTTAAAAAATAAATTTATTAAATTTATTAATATTTTATTTAAAAATATATTATCTATCCATGTGACTATATCTTACTATTCTTTATAGTCACACTTAGTAAATGATGTGATTATAAAGGGTCGACTGTTAACATCTTTTTCACAAATATCTTATGATTTAACTATATACTGCGCCTAGACTAAATAATCTTTACAATTGCCTATTAAAACTGAACTTTCTGTATATGTAAATGCAAATTAATATTTTTGTATTTTTCTTTAAAAAGATATTTTTTTATTAATAGTGTCTATTATTTTGTAAACTATCAATGGCTAATTTAGAATATGTCGCGCTACATTGATACATTTTGTACGAAATAAATTTTTATTCCACGAATCTTTCTGATAAAACCAATAATTTCGATAATCCTATGAGTAAATTAAACTTTATATCCTTATTTAAATATCACTACGGAATCTAAAATCTTTTTAGGAAAAAAATTTTATTTCTAATACTCTCGAAAAACTTTGATTAATAAAAAAGAGTTTAATCTAAATTAATCGATATAACCAGTTTTCGCGCTGAAATTAAATTTTAATGTACTGTGAACTAGTTTGAAATTAATATTGTTCATATTATTTGTAGTGTTTCTCATGAATGAGTCATAAATTGTGCATAATATCAATACCTATGGTTAATCTTGGTAATTTTGGGCAATTAAGTCGACCTTAAAAGTATTTGTTGCTGTAATTAAAACTCAATAATAGAACGTACTAATGATAGATGACGTAGCTCAAACTGTGAATTAATTTATATAATAAATTTTAAAATGTAATTTAGCAATCAGAGTAATCATTATTTATTGGAGGGGATTTGGTAAAGGAATCTTTTAATAAAAAATAAATTAGTATAATTAAAAATCTTATAAAAAAGGAAATAAAGCTAGCACTGATGAACGTCAGGAAATTTTTTAGGCGTAACCATGCGACGGGAGTGTAAACTTACGTAAATATGTGTAGATACAATTTTCTTATGAAAATTTACGTGAACTTGTGTAAATTTACATAAATGTCAATGATTCACATCTGAAGTTTACGTGGTCATGTTCTTTTTTATATTTTTATTTTTTCGTTTTAGGTAAACATTCCTTTTTCTTTATTTTATTAGAACAGCCTTTTGAACTTTAATGGGCGAAATGGAGGTCGTTAAAAAACAAAGAAAAAAAAAACATTAGAAATGTTTTTAAAACAAAAATAAAATGTAAAAAAATAAAGAAAATACCTCCATTTCACCCAATTTCAAAGTTTAAAAGGCTCTTTACAGAAACTTCAAGATCGTAGCGATGGCTTAATGCGCAGTAACTGCATATATGTAATTTCTTTACGATTACATAATGTGGTCACTTTGTATTTATAACGCAGTTACTGCGCATTAAGCCATCGCTACGATCTTGAAGTTTCTGTAAAGCTGTTCCTAAAAAAAATAAGGACATGTTAGTAACGTTGGTAACGTTCCTAAAACAAAAATAAAATGTAAGAAATAAAAAGAAATAACTTTAAAATGGATTTAGTTTATACTGTAATATCTGGTGATCAAAACAATAATTTATTTTATTAGGGCTTTAGGGGCTTGATGGCTTGCATATTCCAATTTGGAAATATGTTTTTCCATGTGAACACGTTCAATGTTTAAAACGTTCGAAATGATAGAAAATTTTCAATATATATATTAACGCTTGAGGATGATCTAATGACAGTTTTTTCGAGCGATTGTAGAATTTTATTATAAAGAACGAACGCTTTTTATTATTTAAAAACTTTATTGATCGTCTATCGATGTGTCATAATAGATTGCCATATATGATTTGGTTTGTAATGCCGACTGATTTATCAATCTATTGATTTTGATGTGGAGTAGTTGTGGAATATTTCCTTTATACTTTCATAATATTTGTTATATCAATAAAATTTAATCAGTAATCATTTATTGAAATTTTTCACACAAAATAAGCCTTTTTTACGGCCTTTTTTACGGATAAGGAAATAACTGGTGTAATACTCGTTTGTACAGCGTTTGTACCCGATCCAAGTATTACAGTAATTAATGACTTGGTAATTAAAAAATATTGTATTGTCTCTAATTTTGGCAATTACAAATACTATTTACAGTACGAAAGTACATGTTCAAATATTTTTAATTATTGAAAGAAACGTTCAAATTGTTTGTAAAAATTTTTGAAGGAGCAATATACACTATTTATCGAAAGTTATAATGTAAGTATTCTTGAAATTTGTTATATATATTTTCGGTACAAAAAAAAAAGAGAAAAAATATTACAAAATATGATTTTCTCATCTTGTTCTACATTTATGGCAAATAGATTGATAAAAATTCTGACTATGGATACAAATCGGGACACTGACCCTTTTACTCATGGGTACGTATTAAAACGTAACACCCTTTTTTTGTGTCATTATCAGGTACTTGACGAATCCTATTTATTTCAAAAGTACTGTACAACTATAGTATGAAAAAAAATGTATCTATCGTATAATTAATTTTACAAATTTTTATGTTATGAAATCTCTATAGAAGATGCGGTAATTGTTTTTTATGATCGTTCCGATACCGGGAAATTTTGCCACATTTAACAAGAAATAAAGCTACTGACAGTTACAAAATCCCTGTAAAAAATCTGATCCGTGTTTTATTTTTCCATGTTTTTTCCGCGAATGTATTATTTTAATGGAATTTATAGCCTTAAATCATGGAAATTTTCATCTCGCTAACACGGATATCCGTGAATGTATCATTTTCACGGAATTTTTACGGAAGACACGGAGAAATAATGGAAATATTCGGATAAAAATTTTTTATAGGGAATTGCAATGTTTCTTTCGTGATTAATAAATTTTAATTAAAAATATTATAATAAGTTTTATATTTTTAAAAAGAAAATAAAAAAGAAAGTATAAATAAGTAAACCCAAATAAAAAAAACGGTGGCTTAGTTGTGCCACTGATTTGGCTTCCTGATGGGGCTTGTAGGGGTTACCATCAATTCAAAAAAATCACAATCATAGCCGATCAGCGGCTCATAGCCACGTTATTCTTTTTATTATGAATTATCTAAAAAACATACTGTATATATATTACACAATCAAATAAAATTGCACATCAAAAAGTTACATCAAAGCCAATG